ATCTTCAAACTATTATGAATCAGATTTTAATAACTAAGTCTAGATTTATTTTTTGTGATAACTAAGATAACTAAAGAAGACATTTCAAAATTAGCAAGTATTTCCTGTAGGCTAAGAATTTACATTAAGTAGAAAACACACTGTTAAGATAAAAAATGGTGTTTCATAAGTGACTGAAAAATACTTTGCATTAAGAAGCAATGAAGCAATGGCTCACGCCTATAATCCCAGCAGTTTGGGAGGCCGAGGCGGGAGGATCATCTGAGGTCAGGAGTTTGCGACCAGCCTGGCCAACATTGTGAAACACCACCGCTACTAAAAATACAAAAATTAGCCGGGCATGGTGGTGGGCACCTATAATCCCAGCTACTCGGGAGACCTGATGCAGGAGAAACACTTAAGCCTGGGGACGAGATTGCACCATTGCACTCCATCCTGGGCGACAAGGGCGAGACTCCATCTCAAAAAAACAAAAAAAGAAATAATGAGATTCAAATAAAAATGGCTAAGTAAAGTTGATCTTAATGTGGTGGTGTTATGTTTTCATAAAAGTATTCTATAAATAAATTCTAGATGTTTGTATATTTTTATCTTACTATAAAAATAATCCTTGTAAATAAGTACCTTGATCATGAGGAAAAAAACTTTAAATGTTCATCCTTATTATATGCCAAAATACAATTAAAAATAAAAATTTTGATTTCTAAGCACAAGTCAAATCTCTTCATAATACTATACCATGTATTAAATTGGTCTAACCATTTGAGAAAAAGGTAAGAACTCACTAAGAGAGAAGTAATGTTTATAGGTAAATAAAATAAAATTTTGTTTCATTTAGGATGCTAATTAAAATAATGAATTAATAGATTATCGAACCTCGCTTAGATTAGCAAATTTTACAAAGGCGTAATCATTTAAAACTCATCAGTGTAAGTATGGAATTTTCTTTAAAAATTAGCAGCAAGAAAAGAGATAAATATTACTAAATAACATTTAGTATTATAATTTAAGATATAATTTAGAGAGAAATTACAAATCAATTGGTAAGGGGAAAATCATTTCATAAACACAATTGGGTTAGATGATTTCAATTTGGAAAAAATATTAGTTCAGGTACCCAATGCATAATAACCTAAAATAAATTATGGTTGGATTAAAGAGTTGAAATATTAAAAAATCAAATAGTTAAAAGAAAAAAAGAAAATTGAACTTTTAATAAAACTTCTGGGTAATAGATGACTTTTTAAACTTAGAAGCACCATATTTATGAAGATATGTAAAGATAAGTAAATATATAAAAATATGTGTTCATATGGTATATGTGCTTGTGTATTTGTCCACAAAGAAAGAGAGTAACATATTTG